GGGTGGGTGTGGGTGTGGGTGGGTGGGGTGTGGGTGTGGGTGTGGGTGTGGGTGTGGGTGGGTGGGGTGTGGGTGTGGATGGGTGGGGTGGGTGTGGGGTGTGGCCGTGGGTGTAGGTAGATCTGAGTGAAGAGAAGACCAGCATCCACAACGACACCAAATCCACACCCACCCACACCCACACCCTGCAATTAGTTTTCTTCTTTTTTCAATTAATTTTCGTGTTTCATCTGATAGTTTGAATATATTTCGGTTTGTAGGTGATTCTTTTGCAGGTTTTTCTTCAGTATCAACAATTATTTTTGTTAGGGTTTGATTTATTTCATTTAAATTCATTTTTCTTTTGGTGTTTATTTTTGTTTTTATCATTTGATCAATTTCGATTTCGAATTCTTTTTTCTTCGTTGTGAGTATGTCATTGTTTATTTCTAGTTTCTTGTTGAGAATTAACCCTTAAGAGCCGAATGTTCCTTCCAAGGGACATTTGAAAAAACGCTATAGGAGACGTAAAAAAATCGTTGAGGCATGGACCAATATTCTTTTGGACTTTGATGACCTAATAGATTATAGAGTGAAAAAGAAATTTCTTAAAACCGACTGTCAGGGGACGCAGCAGGTTTTGGAGAATACATGAATTTTTCAAATGCAATTTTGTATTTTGCAATGTATGCCTTTTCGTAAATATAGCGTGAATTAGCGTGAATTTTGGCTTTTCTGAGAGGCACAAAGGCAAGCTACCGAATGAAACTGTTCCCTAAATTTTTAAGTTACCTGTTGATGCATAGTGATAGCACGAAGAAAATGTCCCTTGGAAGGGATATTCGGTCTTAACGGGCCGAAAAGTTTGAGCGAGACTTACATTGAAACCGATAGTGTGTAAATTTTGAAAAATTGTAAAATATTGCTTGAATTAGTTTCTTGAGTAATAAGAAACATATAAATAGAGGTATTTTAAAGAAAAAATTGCTTTTACATAAATTGATAATAGTGAAAAATTTTGGACCGTTACGACCGAATGTTCCTTCCAAGGGACATTTTATATCACCGTAAGAAAAAAATTTTTTTTTCTTTTTATTATCAATGATTCTTATTGAGACACTACACCTTCTGTTTTACCGAATAATTTGTTCAAATTGCGACGATAAGGCCTTCCGGCTTTTAAGGGTTAATTTTCTTCTTTCAACTTTAGTATTAATATTTATTTTACCTCTAACCATTCCATGGTCGCTTTCTGTTTTGATTGAATTTAGAATTTCAACATTTTTGAAGATGTATCTTTTATTAGTTAGAATGAAATCGATTTCGTTTTTAACAGAGTTATTTGGTCCTTTCCAGGCCCATTTTCTATGGTTTTTTTTTGTAAAAGAAGCTGTTGGTTATTTGTAGGTTGTTTTTCGGTGCAAAGTCAATCAACATTTTGCCTCTATCGTTTCTATTTCCTATTCCAAATTTTCCCATAGCTATTTCTTTATCATTTTCCTTCTTTCCAATATTTGCATTGAAATCGCCCATTATAATGGTGAAATAAGTTTTGTCTTCTTTTAATAAGTTTTCGATCTCTTGGTAGATTTCGATGACTTCTTGGTCATCGTGACTTGTTGTTGGTGCATAAACTTGGATTATTTTCATTTTATATCTTTGGTTTATTTTGAGAATTAGTTGAACTAGTCTCTCGTTTATGCCTTTTATACTGATTATTTGGTTTGTAATCTTTTTATTTATTAAGAATCCTACGTCATTTTTGTTGTTATTTGCGTTCCCACATGTGTAGAGTATGTGACCACTTTTTAGTTTTATTAGATGCTCGCCCTTACATTTTGTTTCACTTAATCCTATTATGTCCCATTTTATTTTTGCTATTTCTTCTTCAAATTCTTTTCTTTTTTCTTCCTCTCTGAAAGTTCTTATGTTGTAGGTGCATATATGCATATTTATTGAATTTGGAGATCTGTGGCTTTGTTTGTCGCTTTTATTTGATTTATTGTTTTTCTTGTTGTCGGTTGGCATCTGTAGCATACTTATCATTTGTGACCCACTACCGAAGTCACAAACACGGTCCTTGTTAATTCGGGCGACGACGGAACCGGCATCAATTTGTAGTGATTGTGTTTTCATGGGGGTTGTATAGCCATAAAACATCACGCTGGCTAGGCGGGTTGGTGAGTGTTTGTCGTCTGAGTTTTCTCTCTTAGATAAGCTGCCTACCATGGCTAAGAACCTCATCTACCCTTGGTTTAAAATCGGAGTTTTCCTTCTCCTAGATGAACTACCAGTCAAGGCTAAAGAGCTCCACCTACCCTGGCTAAGGCTTATGAAACTTGGCTCAGAAGGAGCCTTGTTTCTGGCGGCCTATACTCGCCCTGTCATCCTGTCGTCTTTGAGTTTCTGCGGTATTTTATAGAGATTTTGGTGCCAATCAAAAACCCACCACACCCTGTTGGCAAGAAGTCTGAATTGTCCGGGACTGTTTATTTGAAACAATTGCTTGATCTTATTCGCAGCTAACCATTATACTAATGGCCGTTCCACTATCCGCAACCTGTGGACCCGCTTGGTAGCATCCAGCTTAGCTCCAAGTCTTACCTCATCAACGTGTATTAAATATACAAATTAGCAAGTGTAAATGCAGAGATCTGAATATCTTGCTCTATAATGATAAAAGATATCATTTCGACAATGGGACAAGCGTATTAATCGCTGATCAATGGATTCATATTGTTTTGACCAAAATTTGTTCACAATCGAAGTATCGAGTATGGATCGATGGACAATATCTTTCAAAACTCACACAATATCGTCTATTCCTCAATAAGTTGACAAAATACTTTTCTTTGTTTAATATTTTATTATTTCGGAAATTTGACAATAACTCATTAGACACATCTATCTAAGCTCGTATAGCCGATTTCAATGCTTTCAAACGATGTTTGACAGCTATAGAAATTCGAGCTATTCATCAACAGCAAACATTAATCAAGCAAGTCAAAGTCGGTCAAGATATCAACAATAATAAAATATAAAACATTCAAGTCGATCGTCGTCGTAGTAAATCGAATTATTTGTCATATAAAGGAGGGAGCCGTTAAGTGCAGACATCGGCTTCTCCTAGAAATCATCATATTTGGTCTGAAACTTGTCCTAAACGGTGCCAAAAGTTGTTTTCAGATAAAATAAGTCATTATATTGCATATTTTTTTATTGTAGGGGCCATATATTCATTCCTAGGTTCAGAATGTGCATTTCAGCATAAAATGCCCATGATATCGATCTACATAATGGATACAACAGTGGGTATTGTCTCGATATACTTGCCTTTGATTCATCTCAATCGGATTATTCATAGCTGATCTTGTCGTATTTCATCATTTTTGATGCTATATGATAATAAGCTTTCTCTCTTTTCTACTCTTTTTTGATGAATTCATATGACTAACATGATAAAGCAGGCTCGTGACGATGGATGAACTTTTAATTCTATTGCTTTCACTCCTATCTAATCGATCTCCGCCATCATGAATTTTATATCATTTGATAGCCCGTGTTGAGATCTATCAAAATATATAAAAATATCAAGGAAAAATATTGGCCCGGGTGTCCACTAGGTTGACTGATGGTGTCCACAGTGGATATCGCATTAGTATTAGAGTTAGGATTAATTAATACTTAACTTCATGTTTTAGCATTAGCATTATTTTAATACTAATGCTAATCCGAAACCTCTATTGGTATCTGATAGAATTGACAAAATTCACTTTCTCTAATTGTTTCATATCTTTGAAAAACAATTTGAACATACATTACTTCCATTGAAATTTATACAATGTCTGAAAGAGTTCGATGCAATAAATTCAACAACTTAGTGATTGATATTCTTGAAGAATATTTTGATGAAAAATAACAGAATATTATTCCCTTTTGTTCTAAAATATTGTTTATTGAAGAATTGAATAAAATGAACTTTTGAAATTATTGGTTTAATTATTCGAAGAAAAGAGAAACTAATTCTGTTCCAATCATAAGTAACAAGTGTTATTTTTCAAAGGTCGTACCATCGTCGTATGATGTCCACTTTTGAAGAGACCATTTGAAACTTACAGATAAGTATGTAGAAGACAACAAATCCAAAAGCAGCGATGATACACAAGCAAAATTGATTCGGCATTTGCCAGTAGCTTCTCTCATGTTTTAGTGCAACCAACCTACGATTATGTACTGCTGACTGTAGTTCACTTCTAGGCCAATCAATTGTCTCCTCAGCGTTCCATTCATTACCGGCGTACATTTGTGTCACAAACCTATCAGTTGGCGTTTCTGTCAACCATTTTTCAACTCGATCAGCACATATTTTTTCAATGACACTGAAAATGACTTGTTGTTGATTGGGTCCACAATCGAGAGCGATGGCACCGAGTATAGCTTCTATACAGTCAGCATACATATTCATAGAGACAAATCGTGGTGAGTTTCCACGTATAAGATATTCTTCTAAATGAAGTTTCTCCTGTGCAATTGCCGCCAGAACGCGATTTGGAACGACTTTCTGTGTACCTTCGTGCAATTCATTACGTTTTTTGATTAATTCATCTCGTCCCTTTAGGAATAAGAAGCGAGCAACAGAATATTTCAGTACGGCATCACCAACGAATGCTAATGAAGTAAGATCACGATGAAATGCCATTGGATGTTTTTCTTGAACCGCTGATGCATGAGTTAAAGCTTGACGAAGCAAATCTTGATTCTGAAATTTGTATCCAATCACATCTTCAAAGTCAGTTGCTGGTTTTACTTGTTTATAGTGTCTTGGCATTGTTTGACTAATGCAATAATTTCTCTTGATAGCATGGATTTCGCTATGATTTGATCAATATGTTCGTTTATTCGCTGTTTAATTGTGTGTTAAATCAAGTATATCGAAGATTTGATTCAATCTATGAGAAAAATTGATCGATGAAATTGGTAGAAATAAAATCAAAATAATGACTGGTTACAATGCCTTATCTATCTTGCGATACTTGAAAAAAGAATCAAAAATTTCCAAGTCGAATAATGTAATATCTATTAACAAATATTCGTCATTTTAGTTGGTGGGTTTTTAACGAACGAAATCGTTAGTACAATTACAGGTGCTCAAAAAAGTATCCGATCACTCCAATTTAGTCTCATGCAAAGACTTTATTCAAAAAATACCTTTAGAACGATGGACTCTTGTGAAACTTATGTACGATAGAGAACTTTGTTTACTCTATCCAATGATGGTATTTGAGTAAAAAACAACATGTTTTGATATTGAAAATCACTTTTTGTGAAAAACCATGAAATTATCGAAAAAAGTAAATCTCTGACAAATTCGATGATCGCCTTGAATTGAAAAGCCACATATGCAGTTTTGTAGAGCAGCTCACGGCGCGTCGAATGGTATATAACAAATCACATTTTCATCAAGTCTTGGTGTGGTAAGAGTCCAAATGTTGGTTGGGAGACATACAGTGAGTAAACGTTTAGAAGCACCTTAGACCAAAGCGTAGATGTTTATCACTCCTTTTTGGATGAGAACATGCACTCAAGGGTAGGTGTGGGTGGGTGTGAGTGTGGGTGTCAGGAAATAGAAGATCCACTCATGCTCACACCCACACCCCACCCCACACCTCACACCCACCCCACACCCACACCCATCCACACCCACCCACACCCACCCTTGAGTGCATGTTCCCATCCAAAAAGGAGTGATAAACATCTACGCTTCGGTCTAAGGTGCTTCTAAACGTTTACTCACTGTATGTCTTCCAATCAACATTTGGACTCTTATCGCATCAAGACTTGATGAAAATGTGATTTGTTATATACCATTCGACGCGCCGTGAGCTGCTCTACAAAACTGCATATGTGGCTTTTCAATTCAAGGCGATCATCGAATTTGTCAGAAATTTACTTTTTTCGATAATTTCATGGTTTTTCACAAAAAGTGATTTTCAATATCAAAACATGTTGTTTTTTTTACTCAAATACCATCATTGGATAGAGTAAACAAAGTTCTCTATCGTACATAAGTTTCATAAGAGTCCATCGTTCTAAAGGTATTTTTTGAATAAAGTCTTTGCATGAGACTAAATTGGGGTGATCGGATACTTTTTTGAGCACCTGTATCTAACACTCAGGGTTTTTGAGTGCTACACTTTGGCCTCTCAAGAAACATACTGGCAAGATTTTTGTTTTAAAAAATCACTTTTTTAATAAAATATTCGTTGTACTGTTGTGTTATCAAACAATTTTTAGAAATAATAGCACAATCAAACGATCACTATCGGTTCGATGGTGTAGCGGTTATCACGTCTGCTTTACACGCAGAAGGTCGCGAGTTCAAACCTCGCTCGAACCTATTTTTTAATAATTTTTTAAAGCATATTTTCATGATGACATTTCATTTTTACATTATGCTAATAGTGTATATTGTATGTAGATGGATAGAGTTATCATAAGGCAATCTCGAAGAACAGAGCGTACGATTAGCGGGGGGAAGCCAGAGGATTTCCCCCCGCAAAATTTTTTTGTCCACTATCGCTTTCTCCTTGAAAATTTTCTTTAGAAGCGCTCTGCAGATTATAAAATTTTAGTGAACCAAATGAACGGTGCAAAAGAGAACCATTGATTTTCTCAGACAGAATGTCTTCACTCAATGTTGCAAGAAAAATCCGTTGTTGTTTCATCAAGAGAGTTAATCTACTTAATAGCTGAGCAAAACTGATATATTTTCTCCTCAAGTTCGAAGTATTTTCTCTTTGGATCTGAAGTATTATCTCCTTTGAAACTGATTAATTTCCTCCTTGGATGATCTAAAGAGAATATAATTTCGATACAAAGAAAAATGGTTCAGTTTCAGAGAAACAAGTTTAGATCTCTAGAGAAGACGCTTTGGATTCAAAGAGAAAATAGTTCACACTAAAGGTGATATTGAATCAGTTTCGCCTAGCTGTTTACTAGACTAACTTTCTTGATGAAAAAACAACTGGTTTGTCTTGAGACATCGAGTGAAGACTTTCTAGTTGACGAAGGACCGTTTTTAACTGCAAAATCACTTTTGAGTTTGGACGCTGCGCATAAGGCAGCTCCCACTGATGTACGAAACATACTACAAGAAGAAACATCCTTAGGCCTCATGTACAGGCTTATAGGTATTTTATTGCAATTTTAGCCTATGGCATGATGTATACAAACAAATCGAGTGATAGTATTTCGAACTGAGGCCCAATATATAAACAGGTCAAGTAGAGAGCAAAATGTCCTGAAAATTTCAGTCAGCTCGAAATATCGATACTAAGCTTGTCAGTACACATCATGCCATCTGTAGTCGTAATTCTGCTCATTCCTTGAGAAATTCTGAAAGGATCTTTCAGGATGCTGCATCTCAAGGATCTTGCTTCAACTCCTGATAATTCCTGTTTAAAGAATTTTCACGAATAATCAAAATTCTGCTCAGAATTTCTTCAAGTTTCTGCCCAAATTTTTTTTAAAGTCACGAATGCAGAATCATGCTAGTATTCTGTTATGGTTTTGCTTAGGATCCTTACAGAAATAATAGAGAGTATTCTTCCAAGGTTTCATCACGCTTTAGAGAGCATCTGATCTGGATTTTTATACAAGGATCCAGCCAGCTATTTTAACTGAATTAGAGAAGAATCTCGACAAGAAACCAATAAAAGGGTATATTAGTGGCTGCGACTGTTAGTTAACATGAGATGAACCCGTATTCATGCCCACAAGTACATCATGTTTTTGCTAAGAATCTTAATTAAATCTTGTTTCGAATCATGCGAGGATCTTGAACTTCCATAGTTACATACTTCTTTCAGAATTTAGTCATTTTCTCACGAAAGAGGAGTGAATTCTTGAAGGATCTTGATTGGACCCGTTAAGAATTTGGCACGGAAACAGCAAGGATTTCCTTTAGGGATCGGCTAAAATCGCAGTAAAATGCCTATGCATCTGGACACAAGGCTTAAGGGGATTTCTCCATATGGTTTTTTCATACATCAACGGGGTCTACCTTACGCAGAGTTCGAATTCAAAAGCGATAAGACGGTTCAGAACGGTGCCTCGTCAGAAAAAATAGATGGCTTCCTTTTGCATAGTGCATTCGGTTCACTAAAATACTATAATCTGCTAAGTGCTTGCCAAGAAAATTTCTTAGCAGAACACCATAACGGAAAAAAAATTGGGGAGGGAAAGGCTGGAGAAATCCCAAGTTCTCCCTTCCGACCCCTCCCCCTCGTTAATCGAATGGCTTGCGAGTTTCAACTGAGAATATATTTTACTGTAAAAACCTAATTCAAAGAGCTGTTTCTCTCTAGCTTTGGGAGACTTTCTCTCTTGAATCTTCCCCCCTCTAATCAAAACCAAACGAAAGCTATGATCAAAAGAATAGCTTGAGATACGGAGAAAGATAGGCAGTGTGTGTTACCGCAAAATATACGTTACATATCCTCTGAAGCAATTTTTCTATTCAATGTCGTAAAAGTAAGACACTCTATTTTATAATTATTCACTTAAATCTTATTCCGAACATGGATTTTTCTATTACATTACTTCAGATCTCAGAGAAATGTCAGATTTTTGCGTGCTAGAAAGTTTTAAATGGGTTTTAAAACTAAACTAAAACTCATCTTGACAAATAAAAAGACTCATATGTTGTTTTGTTTTCAAAATAATTATTTATCTTCGATACATACTGTTTGGAAAAAATCTCTCACCATTAACATAAGTGAAGATGTTTGTCAAAAAAAATATCGTTATAAAAAGCTCTAACAAAAAGTCTTGTCAATATTTTGAAACTAATTCGAACTCGGCATAATTAGATTTCAGAAAGAAACTTTAATTACTCAAATACGCTCTTTTTTGTCTTCATTTTATTTCTTAAAACAAAAGTCATGGTTCTTAGATGAAAAAGATATCTAATAAAGAACCATTGCAAGAAGAAAATAAAAGTAAATCATTCGATTCAACACATGGCTACAATGCTAGATATCTCATTTTCATCGTTTTGAAAATCATCAAAGAAAACAAAAACAAGGAATACTTATCAAAGAAGAACGAAACATGCAAAAATGGTTAAAGAAAGTACGTTGTGAAAAGTAACATAAGGGATAATATTTGCAATCAAATATTTGCTTACCTATTTGCAGTAAAAATGTGTCAATAGTTTTTTTTTTATTCTTATTATTTATCACACAAGCAAACATGCGATTTGTGAAGGAATGAGGAACACAGCATAAAATATTTTTTATTACACCATTTGCGCATATCAACCTCATGTTTTCATTGCTTTTTGGTAGAAGCCTCACTACTCTGTGATATAAGGATAGATAAAACTGCAGTAAACCTGTCAATATATTTTTTTATTATGCATAAGAGTAAAATACTTCTTTTTGAAGCAGTGTAGTAAAGAGATTTTCTTCTTATTTAGTTTTGACAAGACTTTATCAAGTGGAGTGTCATTAAAATCTCGAAAAGAATGGTAATTTAGAAACTTCTTCGTCTTCATACAGTGTGGATGTGAGGAGAGGGGGAGAAGGTATATACCCACACCCACATCCCCACACACATTCTTGACGTGTTTGCATTTTTTGGTCCAATTAAATCTTTCCATTTTTGTATTGCATTTTCTTTTGTCAAGACCATAGCAAGAATAGGAGCACTTGTCATAAAGGCAACAAGGCTTGGAAAAAAAAATTTTTGCATTGTTCCGCTGTTTATGTTACACGTCTTTTCTAATTAAAATTAAGACAATCAAAAAACAAAACGAAAAGAAAATCCAAACAGACTGGTAGAACGGTAAAACCATGTTTAAGAATAATAGTTTCAATCTCATCAGCTTTATTAACAGCATCAAGTTTCACTAGAGCAACTATTCATTGAACGAATATTTCATGGTCAGAAATATCTATTTGGAAATTCTAGTCACTTGTTCATATATGCTCGATTAGGTTCACAAGATTTTCAATGACAATAAAAAAACAAAATGTATCAAAATTGAGTGTTCCACAGTCTAAAAAAACAGAGATTAAATTTTCCATTTTTTTCTCCAAAGAGAAAATGCAAAATGGTACTTAACAAATAAAAGTACACATCAATTTTGATTATCGAACGCTTTTATAAAAATAATCGGACAAGAAAATAAAAACAAGTTGAAATAACAAACATACTTTTTTTACAGATTCAATTCAGATGATAGTGATACTCATGCTGCAATTGTCTTCGATTTAGGAAGTGACACGAAAATTTCGTCGGGAACTTGTAAGTTCTACATTGCGTTTTCCTAAGCAATGTAGCATGTACATTAGAAGTAACCTAAGTCAAGACATATGAGTCGGTTCTGGTAGAAAAACTCTGGAAATCGATTTAATTTCTATACAATATTCCGAACTCGAATGTTTATGAACTTTTCCGACTAACTGCTTGTTCTTTTTAAAAGACAATAGTCACGAATCAAGGGACAAATCGGTCGACATTCTGATCGAAATACTATGTTCAATTTCTTCCAAGTACTGCGATTTTCTCGCATCTTTTCAACGAAATTCACGTGTCTCCAGAATTGGGAATCACCGACTTGAGAATAGATATTCAGTACAGTTTTGCTTCAGCTTGCGATAAACCAGCTATATTGAAAACATGCCACTTGCATTATCAATATTTTTCCTCTTGTAATCAAATACACTTACAATGAAAATAAAATAAGTTTATAGAAAATTTTAAAATATTTTATTTTTATTATTTACTAAAATTGTTGTCATAGTTTAATTTCTCAATAAACTCTTGAGAATTAATATATGTTATATACTCATTTATAATGATTGGTTACATAAAAAAGCCAATTTTATACTTATCTTTGCTCTTTCTTCTTATCTATTCTCTTCTATTTAAATCATAAACAATGGCTGCAGCGACTGAAGATATCAAAGACAATATAGTAATTCTAGGCGCTACCGGGCCTAGCGGTTTACAGCTTGTTCAACAGGCGTTAGCACGAGGTTATCAAGTAACAGCACTTGTACGAAATCCAAAAAAATTGGAACATATCGAAAGTAAAAACCTTCAGGTATATTGTTTTCAATTCTTTGTAGTTTAGTGACTCCTAGCACACACAATGAATACGCTTATCGCAACAGTCAGTGTGAGATGTCACTAAACTGCAATAGTAGTTTATTTTCAAATGTATCAATAATTAGTATTATATTTCAGGTAGTGCAATGTGATATAATGAATCCAACAGAGTTAGCTAAACATATGACAGGTCACACAGCTGTTTTATCAGCTCTGGGCTATCCTGGTCTTTCAATATGGTCAATAACATTTTATGAAGATTCAATTAGATCAATAGTGTCAGCTATGCGTAATGCAAATATTAAGCGATTTATAGGTATAACTTCAATGTATTCAAAATGTAAGTACGCAAACAAAACAAATGTATATTCACATAGTTTTCATATAAATGATTGATATAGATCAATCAGATTATCCATTTATGGTTCGATATCTGATCCGTCCAATGTTAAGCCGTACTCTTGATTCAATGTTTAACATGGAACAATATCTTGAAAAAGAGTGTCAAGATTTAGAATATACAATTGTTCGACCACCTGGTTTAACTAATAATTCTATTATTGGTAAGTTTAAATGAAATTGATTCGTAGGCTTTATTTTATGTTTTTAGAACAAGACGTTAAAGTATGTGAAAATGATTATCATTTTCCTGATCAATCCATATTAATGAGTATACCACGAGCAAATGTAGCTCGCTTTATGCTAGATATATTAAAAGATGAAAAGTATATTCGTCAAGGTGTTGCTATTGGTATGCCAAAACATACTCTATAAATCCAGCTAGAAAAAGACAACTTCCTTATAATAATAAATTCTAACGATGTTCGTTCTTTGCTAGTGAACAAATGCGACTTTTTTATTTTGAATTTTTAGATTAATTATTTTTAAAATAATGGCTACTGCTCAACGGGTATATGCATTGATTTTTCATTTTGATCTATATTCTTAATAATATGTTCATTTTTTCCGATATGATTATTGAACTAACGATTATTCATAGGATACAAGTTCAACAAGGATGTGGATGAGCGGGCGCGGGTATGAGTGTGGGAGTGTAAGTGTCGATGTGGGTGTAGTTGCGAATGTGAACGAAGAGAAGACACTCAGACCAACATTCTCACTCACAACCAACTTCAGATTCGCATTCTTCGACCAGAATTGTCTTTGATTAAGCTTTATAAAAAATCGTTATCTTTCTCAAAACAAAAACCCTTTCTTTAGAGAAAAAGTTAGGGATAGAAGAGTACCAATACCATTAATACCAATGACATTCAATATCGATACATTACTACTGTATTGGTATTGTAACATGTCTAAGTTTAAGTTTTTCCAAGATTTCGAAGGATTTCATAAGATTTTATGAGATTTTAAAGATTCTGGATGCCAAAATCTCTTTCTTCTCTCGTGCACATTGCATACTCAAAATGTAAACTTATTTGTTTTTTGCGTCAATAGATGGCTCTCATTAACGCTAAATTTATAACTATGATTCATTATTATGTTTTGTCCTCTTCGACATCTCGTCGATATGTATCTTGACTATGGTCGACCTGTTTCATATTTTATGATCGTTGTTGTTGTTTTTATTTATTTTTATTATTATTATCATTGTTTTGTTATTTGTTTATAAATAAAACTAACTTATCTATTATATTCAGTGAATATTAATTCAAGAATCATGTTATCCAAGTCGGGATAGACAGTTTACTGTAAACTCCTAGTTTCTTAAAGCAGACCTTATTCTCAAACTAAGTTTTACTTAGTCTACATAAATTACGCAGTATAAAGATATGAGAAAAACTTTTTCGAAAGTCTCACAAATTTTTCACTTAGATAGATTGACAAGTGCATATTCATTCTAGAATGAATTATTGATATTTATCATGGATTCAGTATTCTTTTTATCTTTCTTATTTGTAATATATTTTGATAATATTCAAGATTATGTTGAAGAAAGTGCTGATTATTCAGCATTCATTAGGTGTTTGTTCTCCTTATATAACGCAATTCTTCTCTGAACATAATATTCCATTCGAAATTCTTCCTATTTTTGATTCTGCTTATCACTCGCAATTACCAGATAATAATACAAATGATTATTCCGTGATTGTTATTCTTGGTGGACCACAAAGTGCATATGAACATGATATTTATCCATATTTAAAATGGGAAAAATCATTTCTTGCTGCTCAACTTACTCTGAATACGCCTATTCTTGGTGTATGTCTCGGAGCACATTTACTTGCTGATGTTATCGGTGGA